TGGTGCTCGCTCCTACCCTGGGGGTCTTCAAAAGGAGGCTAGATGATCACCTAGCCGGGGTTGTTTGACCCCAGCATCCTTTCCCCCCCCCATGGCAGGGGGTCAGACTTGATGATTTGCTCGGGTCCCTTCCAACCCTACCCACTATGAAACTACTATGAAACTATAAAATTTTCCTGACTGAGGTCCATGGGCCAAAGGAGGGCACAGGGAATCTGTTATTCAATTCCTCCTACACACAGAGAATCCTACTGCACAGATATCTGTTCTAGCAACAAACTCTCTTGCAGGGGAGATCTTTCAGGTGTCACAGTGCAAGCTCTCTCACAGATGCGGCATGTTTTCTCCATGAGTAACTGAATATATGCCTGTACACTAGCAACTTTACTGGAAAAGTGTTTCTGCTGCAAGAATTGACATAATGCCTGTACATAGCCCTAGTAACATGCAGAGAAATGAATATTAGGTTATGACAGTGCTCAGCAGCCTATAGTCCTATTTTGCTAGATGCTGTATACACAAAGAGATCCCACACTTTGAAAAGATTTATAATCTAAATACTCAAAGGTTAGGTTTGTTTGTTTTTTAAAACCCTTTTACATTTAAAACACAGCTAGTCATTTGTCTAGCCATAACCCAAAGCCTGGACTTCAAAGATGTGACAGAAAGGTTTGGTGGGCTAAGTTCTAGTGAGCAGTTCTGGTGGGGACCGTTTTTTGGAGGGGATGGGGGAGGAGCAGTGGGAGCACACTTTGCTGCAAAATAGTGCCGGTAAATGGCTTTGTAAGCAAAGCACCTATATGTTCTTTTCACCCCAGAGGCAGATGGCAGTCTGGGCCTGGTGGCAGGCTGCAGAAGCTACTCTTCAATTGGTTTCCAATAATGTTATTTTTACTTTTACTGGGCACCTGTTAGGACCTATCTTGAGTACTATAATTTTTTAACAGTTTTTTTGCCAGCTATCTGTGCCAGAATGATATTCTGAAAGAGTTAGAGAGAGAAAAGCTGCCCCAAGCAATACACAGTAGAGAGAAAGGAGTAGTTTCAGGAAGGACAGAAGTCAAGGAAGGAACAAGGAAACTGCAGCATCACCATAAAGACTGTTTGTTTGGAGCCCAGGTGTCTGCTGGGCTAGTTCCGACACCCCCTTTGAAGGGAGGAAAAAATCCCCTTCCCAGGAGCTGACCTGGAGCAGGGGTTTTACAGATTGCCAGGGAAGCCAGGGACAAAGAGAAGTCAAGGTCTTGAGACAGAGGCTTGAGAAGCCACACCAGGGCCAGCTTCAGGGGGTCTTCAGGAAAGGGAGACCAAATAAGTCTGATTCTTGGGCAATCCCAAGACAGAGCTTCCCCTGAAAGGGGCATGATCTATGACAGGAGGCACTGCAGGAGAGGTGAAACTTAAAAAGGATTTAAAGGAAAACATAGCATTCAGATTTATTACAGTTTTGCCTCTCATGGAGAACAGAGAGGAGAGTTTTAAAGCAAGAAGTTCACTTACAGAAGTAACACTTACTAGTATGTTCAAGGTACAATGAATAATCAGCATTTTCTGGTAATATCTTTTATATAAAGATACCAAGCTATAACTTTATATTGAAGTGTTTTTTTCACAAATGTCATGCTATTTACAGATGTATACATTTTGTTCACACATTTAGAGTAGAAAAGCCTAAAACTACTATATACATTTAATAACTGAACATCAGAAGATCAGCTATTAAAAATTCATTTCATCTTCTAAAACATGCAGATATCTTATAAAAGAAACAAAAATACAATGGTAAAGTTACAAAACAATAATGTACATTTTTACCTTTTACTTGGATTGAGTTTTGTGAGAAAGGTGTCTTTTGGCCTATGCTAGTAGTATCCCGTGCTGTAAAAAAAAAGAAAAATAACCCTTACTTCAGAGAACTCTATCATTGTTAGAAAGATCAACAGATAATTGCACAAAGTTTTATTAGTATCATATAAATTTAAAAAATGGCAACTTTTAGTGGGTTTTGCTACATTTAGGGATATCCTCAGAAAGGAGTTCTGAACTGCATAGTGCAAGGGTGATCAACCCCTGGCCCACAGGGCTCCCTGTGTCCAGAAACATGACATCCAGGGAGCAATGGCACCACTCTCCAGATACCAAATTTCCAGACTTGTGGGGAGCCCCAATCCCTCCGCACCATACCGTGCACCCAATCCAAGCATACAGGGTTGGGAAGAGGCAGCATTGGGCCCCCAGGGCCCAATCCCAGCAGGCAGGGCAAGAAGGGGGCAGTGCCAGGCCTCAGGGTCCAGTTCTGGCACATGGGGCTTGATCCAGCCCACACACACCAGAGCCATTCCACTCACCTGGCCCATGGGGCCAAAAGGTTATGCACCACTGATATAGTAGAGCAACAAAAAAACAAATGAAAGTTACAATATGATACTCAAAGCCATTAGGAACCTAAGCTTGCACCATAAGAAAATGTCCATTAATCAAAAAGTTTCTCAACTGCATTTTTACAGCTCTGGGAAAACTTCATGTTGAATTGTACCACAGGGTATATAGAGCAGGATGAAGATAAAATCTGCTACTGTACTTTGTCAGCAGAAAAATATCATAAATGTACTAATTCACAGATGAAATGGTATCTGAAGGACTAAGAAATACTTTAAACAAAAACAAGTATTATAAAGAACACAGTATATGTTAATACTTACATTTCTTCCTATTTAAGTCACATTTTTGTTGCAACTGAAGAGGAGCATTAACTGCATTTGGAATTTGAGAATAAACTTATTTCTTACCAAAATATACCCACTCAAAATAGAGTAAGATCTAGAAGGGCAAAATGGAAAGCTATGAATTTCCAGATATTAAGTCTCATTGCAAAACTATCAGCTTATGCTATTTAAGTGAGTTTTCTAATCACAAATCAGATGTGCTATCAGACAGTTCAGACATGTCTGAATACTTATTCTACACATCACCATCTTAACTCACTATATCATCAGACTAAAATCCTTAGGGTTTCAATAAATAGAACAAACATTTTGTTTTATGTTCTAGCACTGGATGTTTGCCATACATCTGCAGTCATTAGCAAAATTAAAATTAATTTAATTGAAACTCAAGTCACTTTAAAGGACTCAGAAAAAACTTAAGGATTTTTCAAGTAGGTCTATATTGCTTAATGAGACGCTCCTGATTTGACACATGATTTGAATTATTCAAAAAGTCAAAAACTCCCAAGGCTTCAGCTACACAACTGGTCTTTTAAATCAAGCCATTAGTTGTGGATATGACAGGAAGTAAGAAACAGGTCTACTGTGATCCAAATCCTGGAAAATTAGGGTTGGGAAGGACCTCAGGCAGTCATCTAGTCCAACCCCTTGCTCAAAGCAGGACCATCCCCACCTAGATCATCCCAGCAAGGTTTTGTCTAGCTGGGTCTTAAAAACCTCCAAGGATAGAGGTCCTACCACCTCTCTAGGTAACCTGTTCCAGGGTTTTACTACCCTGCTAGTGCAAAAACTCTTCCTAATATCCAACCTAAACATCCCTTGCTGCAACTTGAGACCATTGCTCCTTGTTCTGTCATTTGCCACTGCTGAGAAGTCCAGCTCCATCCTCTTTCAAACCCCACTTCAGGTAGTTGAAGGCTGCTATTAAATCCCCTCTATCTTCTCTAGACTAAATAACCCCAGTTCCCTCAGCCTCTCTTCACAAGTCATGTGCCCCAGGCTCCCTCACCATTTTTGCTGCCCTCTGCTGGAGTCTCTCCAATGTGCCCACATACGTATTTTTGTGCAGAGAAACAACAGTAAGAAAGTCATGCACACATTTGCCTCTGTTACCTTACAATCCTAATTTCACATTTCCCAGTGAGTAAGACTAGAAAGGGTGGTGCCCATTTCCTTCCCCACCAGGAACCTATTGGTTAGGGAACTTATCCAAAAACAGAAGACCTGAATTCCAGCTTAAGGTGATTTGAATACAGGCATACCTCATTTTATTGCGCTTCGCTTTATTGCGCTTCGCAGATATTGCATTTTTTACAAATTGAGGCAAGACCCTCCACCAGCAAAAAGATTACGACTCACTGAAGGCTCAGATGATGGTTAGCATTTTTTAGCAATAAAGTATTTTTAATTAAGGTATGTACATTGTTTTTTTAGACATAATGCTATTGCACACTTAATAGACTACAGTATAGTGTAAACATAACTTTTATATGCACTGGGAAACCAAAAAATTCGTGTGACTCGCTTTATTGCGATATTCGCTTTATTGCAGTGGTCTGGAACCGAACCCGCAATATCTCCGAGGTATGCCTGTACACATCTTCCACACTCCAGGGAAGTGCCCTACCACCAGTTTGTAAGTTAGACGACTGCATTTTCTACTCCTCTTGCCTGATTGGCTGCCCAATGCTCCAACTTCAAACAGAAGTCGTAAAGTACTCTTACCCAGACTGTCCTAACCTGGTGGTTAGGACATTCTCCTGAGAAGCAAGGCATACAGGTTCAAGTCCCACCAGACTAAGAAGGGTGCACATCCAGGTGCTTTAATCACTACGCTACTGCACAAAAAGGTTGGTGGCACCACCACACCCTCTTCAGAAACCCATTAGACAGCTCACCTTAGACAGAAGGTTAGGCATTCTGCATCACAAGTGAATGGAGAGCTTAAGTGAAGAGACTAAAAGCTCCTGAGAAAAGCAAAATTTCAAATACACACCAGTCTTTAGCTTTTCCTACTGGCTACCTCAGTATGTCTCCAAGCTTTCTGAATTGCAACAAGAGAGGAGAGTGCTCACATCACAGCCTGGTCTACTGCAGTGCTTAGGTCCCTCAGAGTTAGAAAGACCTATAACCTAAGTCTCCTGCCAACAGGCTATTGGGCTGTTGTTCTAACCAACAAGCTAGTGGACAAGAGGCAAGCACTACCATAAGTGCCTACACATCAAGGTGGGGGTTTCAGTCTGCAGATCCAACTCTATCACAGATACCCAACTCAGAATAACTGGGAGATGCCTAAATGCTACCTAAACCTGCAAAATAGGGAGCGTTTCTGAAACCTCACCTTCTCCGCACTTCTCACTGGCTGGCTGAAGTATCCCCCAAACCTCAACGCAGCACACTATGCTTTGTGAATATTAGCAATTAGTCACCTCATTTAAGGTTACTGTTAAATTCCACATACTTTAAGTAAGGTTTGTGAGTTCCACCCCCAAAGCCAGACATGAAAATGTAAGTTTTGGAGCACTTGGCATCCACATATTCAAGTCCCTATCTGAATCTCTCAGAGGGTTTTCTTCAAGCTCAAAAGTATTACTTCCACTTTGGCCAGTCACACTGAGTACAATAATCAAGAACTTATTCACCGTAAGGGTAGTAAAGAAAAAGAGAAGTGGTTAGAAATAAATTAAAACGTTTTTTGCTCTTCATCTCATCATACTTAATACACCAAGCATTAGTGAACTTCAACAGGCACTGAGAAATAATTCTCTACATTGATAAGAATGCACCAAGATGGCTTGGAAAAAATAAGGCAAAGATGCTTTTTAACTATTATTCAGATGCACATTTTAACAAGAAAGTTTGTCTCCATGACATTACTTAATGAAAAGTTAAACCATAAACTCTCACAGGAAAAAAATCAGCACACAAATGTCAAGATTTATACCAGAGTATTAAATATCCTTTTAAAATATATTACTTTGCCTTGAAGGCTGGACAAGAAACACAACGCATCAACAAAAAGAATGGAGTATAAGAATGCTGCTCTAAGCATTGTATTAATTTTACCAGTAAGAAAATGGAGGCCTAGAAAGGTTGTATCACTTGCCTAAAGATGCAAGTTTATGGAAGTACATATTCCCAGCAGCGAGCCTTGGAGGAAGCATCTTACTTTACATAATTCAAGGGAAGAATAAGGTTTTGATACACAAAAACTGGACACAAGCTGGTGAATGCTAGTGGGGGTGATCTATGCTGTCCTGCCATAACATACACATGCACACAGCTTGTGAGCTGCTGATGCAAGACTCAAAAATTGTAAGTGGAGGTGAGCAGGTCTATTTTACCCAAACTCTTAACTTTAGACTTTGTACCCTAGCTTAAATTTCAAAAGTTACATTTTTAAAAATGCTAGTAAATTTAAATTGTTGGTGTCTTCACAGTCTAATAGGATCTTAAAGGGCAATACTGTACCATCTTTTGCACTATCTTCCCTTGTAGCAGACAGTTTGATTCCAGATTTTCACAGAAAAGGGAGTACTTTCAATTTAAAAAAAAAAAAGATTGTTTCCTGTCACTTTTCACCCCAGAGTCTTGCATATAAGCAATATTTTTCCAAAACAAGTTGTTTCCAGCACTTTAAAAAAAGCCCAACATACAAGAACTAACAGTCTTGGCCAATTAAAGTTGGCAAAAGTCAAAAGTGGCTCTGGAAATTCACAAGACAGTACAGAACCAGCCTACCTGCCACTAAAAAAAATGAAAAGCTGGACACAAGGAAAATATCAATTTAGCTAAAAAGTAAACTTTCATTTGTGGGGAAAAAAATTGCTAGTCCTTATAGATGTGAAGACAGATCCCCATTCAGATAGCTATGCCAGTGGTTCTCAAACAAAAGGGTTACAATCTTTATGAATGAAGTTTCAAGTCCTATAGCCAGATCTGTCTGGAATAGTCTAAGCCGATTAGATGTTGGTCTGTGACCCATGGAACAAAGTCACAGACTATGCAGTGCCATCTCTGTAAAAAAAAAGAAAGAAAGGATCCCAGCATCTCCGCCGCTGTTCGCAGCTTTTCCCAGCAGCCAGATATTTTTACTTTACCCAATGAAGTGAAAATAGTAAGACATGATTAAACTTTGCTACAACTACTGGT